CCCCCCCCCTTTAAAAAAAATATTTATATGAATACAAATTATTTAAAGGCCGATTAAACCCTAATGTGCGACGTTTGCTTTGGTGGACCTGGCTTCCATTTGTGTTAGAATGTTCATGGGGGAGCAGTAGGTGGCAGAGATGATGCTCATATGGTACACAGTTGAAGACCGTTGTTCTGTTAAATATTGTTGTGGCATGTTTTTTTGTTTTTTTTACAATTTGTTCATATGAATGTATTACAGCAATGTCTAATTCATAATTGCAGGAATCCCTAGACCATGAGCTGACTGGGTCCAAACGTGCCTGTGGAGTTGAAAGGCATAAGCCAAAAGGGAAGGGCAGACAGAAAAAGGGAATGTCATCACAGAGCCCAGGACTCACTAAAAAGCTGGTGGTTAAACTCACTCCTGTACTGGTTAGCCCACAACCCATCAGCAGTGCGTGTCTTTCCATTCATCCATCACCTGACAGACAAAAGATAAAGAGTGGGGTGATAGATGGAGCACTGGAAGAAAGAGGGACATTGGTGGAGATAGAAAAGGGGATGGAAATGGAGGGAATGGCTGAGAGAGAAGATGTGGAAAAATATTGTGTTAACCATGACGAGGAGGAGGAGGAGGAAGATGATGATGATGAGGAGGAGGAAGAGGAAGAGGACCAGACTGACCAAAAAAATGTGTCTTTATCAGAGGAGAATAAACGTTCTCCACGTGTGAAAACCACACCACGTCGGCGGAGGACGAACCCGAGCACCACATCTGAGCACGCTGGTTTAGCTGAGGATGACTCTGATTCTGACGAGGTGCCTGAAGTGTTGCTCCAGACCGCTGCTGCCATGGCGAACAGCGAGGAAGAGGGTTTGGTAGGTAGCAGTTGGGACGGGGATGAGGTAAACCAGCACGTCAGAAAGCAGTGTCTCTTTGGACTGGTAAAAACCACACCTCCGGACAGAGGCTCTCGTAAGCGGAATCTCAAAGAGAGATCTTCATCATCCTCATCATCCTCTTCTGTGTCTTCAACGAGGGGCTCCCAGGTCCAGGGGTCAACAGTCAGAATTACCAGGGGACGAGCCCACAAAGTTGCCAGGATGTCGGGACAGAGTGGGAGTTCGTCAAGTGAGGTGGGAGGACAGGAACTGGAGAGTGGGCAGAGCAGTGACTCTGACGATCAGAGGATCAAACCGCTGACAGAGGGCGTCACATTGCTGGGCTCTGGAAATTTCCAGCAGTCTTCCGGTGAGTTTGGTGCAATAAGCCAACATCGACCCTTATTCTCTTTATTTAGTAAGACCAGGAAAACGTTATTACAAAGTAAACCTGTATAATGTATGTCCGTTCAATTCCTTTTTTGTTTTTCATATTTCAGAAGCATAAATGGGTGTGTTGTGTTTGATTTTAATCATTCATTCTCTCCGTCTGTCTCTAGGTGATGAGATGGACATCCAGCCAGGTCCGTCTTTGTCTGTGGAGGACGATGATTTAGAAAATAGGTATGATTCTGTCTACATCAGGGCCACACACACTTTCCCATCACAGGCCTTCTCCACTGGACTTCGTCTGTCCCAAACTCACTACAGTGAGAGCTTTGATCCAAACCTTGTTTAAAAGCACGCACGCATACCAAACATCCACATGCACCGCCGCTAGACAGTGCTTTTGAACATGTGTCTCACTCAAACACGCTTTTTTTACTTGATCAACACTGTCCGATTTTTATTTCCCCACAGTTTCTTCCACACGCAGTAGAGAGAATCTGTAACCATAGGCACACACCGCCCATCAGTGGTGAAGCTCTGAGACCTCACTGTCTAGTGGAAGTCAGTGAATCAACTCTGGAGAAGCTCCTGTGTTTGAATTTTACTTCACTGACACAGACCATTGCATGTCTTTGGCAGTATTTCTGAAAGACACACTCTCCTCTTTACTGTCTGTGCTGCTAATAAAGCTTTTAAGAGAGTAGAACGAGTCTAATTAAACCTCTTTGCTCGGATCTGATGGATCCTGTGTTCAGTAAGACAGACGACTTCTTGTGTGTGTTTGTGTTTTAGGGCTCAGCTTCCGGGTTCTCATGCTGTAATGTTTTCGGTCAGTCAGAACAAAGGCTGTGTGGTTTGCTAACGGTAGGTGTTAAAGTAGTTTCACATAATATTTTTGTTATTGGCAGTGAAATGTCATTATTGGTGGAATTCGAGTGAACAACATTTTTTTAGGCAGATAGGGGTGCAGTAGTGCAGTATTAGTGTTGAATGCAGTTGTTTGTTCTTTTTCAGGACATTAATTCTTCAACAGCTGAATTTTCTACCTTTTAAGGTGCTTAAGCTGAAGATGTTTTTGTCTTTGTCTAAACTGCATTTGTTAAAGTTAGTTTTTGTGCTTAGATTTACTTATGTATTTTTTATTGGTTTTATTAATATTTCATTTTCAAATCATATGCACAGTATATATGCCCTTGTGAATTGGCAAGAAGATCAAAAGTTCATCCTGTTTTAGCAGAAGTTGATGGATGTCAGGGATTGGAAATGTGAGGGAAAGGGAAACTTGACTCCACATGAAGTTTTTGAGTTGGTGGTTCAAAATGGTAGCTTAGATTGGAGCCATGGCCTAGCAGTTGGTGCATGCACTGATGACACCGAGTAATGGTGCATGTACATTTAAGTTAGACTTGGGGTTTTTCCCCCCTTTTTTAAAATATTTATATGAATAAAAATGATTCAAAGGCTGAATAAACCCTAATGTGCAACGTTTGCTTTGGTGGACCTGGCTTCCATTTGTGTTAGAATGTTCATGGGGGAGCAGCAGGTGGCAGAGATGATGCTCTTTCAGACTCAACATGCAGTCTGTTAGCTTTTGTGTAGTCAGTTGTTAAAAGCACAGTGTGTTTGAGGATAAAGAGTGTAGTCTTCACTCTTACATGGGAGGTTTCTGTGTGTTATTTGCATGGTTCTTACGGAGAGGCAATAAACACTTATTTATTCTTTCTCTTGTTCTCTGTTTTTTCCCCCCCGTTTCGTCTCTTTTTCTGTAGCTTAACAGGGTTCCCACGCATCCTGGAAAACTTGGAAAACCTTGAATTTTGCAATGCAATTTTCCAGTAATGGATAAGTCATGGGAAATGTACTTAAATGGAGTTTACTGTAACCTTTTAATCAAACTTGTTCACCGTATTGTCAACTTTTTCGTAAAAAATGAAGAAATCCTCGGACCGATCAGGACTTGGAACTGCGGTCAGTTTTCATGTATTCTGTCATGAATGAGGTCGCAGAATCATATCGTTTTGTTTTATCATTTGTGTCTGCTTGTGTATTTTCATGAGCAAGTACACGTCATAGTCTGCACAATCACTGTCATTTCTTCAGATATCACTCACTGATATCAAGTGATGTTGATATCACACACATTGCAAAACATTATTATTATAATTTCCCAAAGGTTAGTTACTTTATTCAGCCTATTTGAGTGGACTGAACAGTTTGAATCATCCGGAAGCTTCTCTGGTCACACAAATGAACAGCTAGTTAACATTAGCTGTGCATTTAGAACCATTCCAGTAACCACAAAACCTCAGTGGGTATATCACCTGTAATTTCTTTTCATCTTTAAAATAATATTCTTGGTTAAATACAGCAGAGTCAGAATCTGTGGCCTGCAGTCCATTACCACAGAAAATGACTTGACTCATCTCCTAACCACAACACTTACACATTACATGTGTTTAGCATGAGATGGGTGCTATCGATTAATATATTTTGTGTTTGTTTAGTGTGTTTAAGCTCAGTCAATCCCTGAACCTTTACAAATCAAATGACAAACATTTTTACTGGAGAATTCATGAAAAATCAACTTTGCGTTTGTGTTTTTAAAAGCTCATACCTATTAGACTTCCATTGTAAGTGTTGTGCTTTATTTTTTTCATTTTTAAAAACCAATGGTTGAGTCAACTTCATTTTCTGTGGCAAACAACAGCAGGCCACAGATGTATTTCTTAAATATTAGAGATGTTGGTCACATAAAATGCCTTGAAGAAATGGAAAGTAATGTCTTGGACAGAGTGGGAACCCTGCCTAACCTTAATTAACATGCTTCCAATAATAGATTAACCCCTGCCATTTTTCACCCATCTTTAAAAGTGTCCTTTTCTGTTTGTTGTCCGTTTCTTTACTTTCTTGTGAAATCCTCTTGCACTCATTTGATTTCAAAAACCCTAAAGCTTGAGTATTTATTGCATGCTAATGTTCTTTGTTTGAAAGTATTTATTGTCATTGTTTTATTGAAACGTTTTACACAGACACATTTTCATCAAAAAGAAGCATGCATGACTTTGCATCTCAGAAGAGGGAATGTAAATAACTGTGTAAGAACTGTATAAGAATTGTAGTTGTAATAAAAGTTTATACCCCAGTCACAACAGCCTCTGTGCATTTTGTGTATATATAATGCATGCACACAGTGGGGAAAATATTTATTTGATCCACTGCTGATTTTAGTTTGCCCACTTACAAAGAAATGAAGGATCTGAAATTATGGTAGATTTATTTTAATTTAGACCAAATAACTGTGTAAGAACTGTATAAGAATTGTAGTTGTAATAAAAGTTTATACCCCAGTCACAACAGCCTCTGTGCATTTTGTGTATATATAATATATATATATAATTTATTTGATCCACTGCTGATTTTAGTTTGCCCACTTACAAAGAAATGAAGGATCTGAAATTATGGTAGATTTATTTTAATTTAGACAGAATACAGACCAAAAAATCCAGAAAAAAACGCATTATATAAAGGTTTGAGATTGATTTGCATTTCAGTGAGTGAAATAAGTATTTGATCCACTACCAACCAGCAAGAATTCTGTCTCCCACAGTCTGGTTATGTGCCCATGTGGAACACAGATTAGTCCTGCCACTTTAAGAAGTTACTCCTAATGTCAGCTCGTTAGGTGTATAAGACACCTGTCCACACAATCTGTATCTTCCATTTCAGCCGCTCCCACCACCATGGGCAAGACCAAAGAGCTGTCAAAGGATGTCAGAGACAAGATTGTAGATCTGCACAAGGCGGGAATGGGCTACAAGACCATCAGCAAGAAGCTTGGTGAGAAGGAGACAACTGTTGTTGTGATTATTCGGAAATGGAAGAAATGCAAAATAACCATCCATCGGCCTCGGTTTAAGGCTCTGTGCAAGATCTTGCCTCATGGGGTAAGGATGATCATGAGAAAGGTGAGGGATCAGCCCAGAACTACACAGGAGGAGCTTGTTAATGATCTTAAGGCAGTTGGGACCACAGTCACCAAGCAAAACATTGGTAACACACTACGCTGAAATGGATGAAATCCTGCAGCACCCGCAAGGTCCCCCTGCTCAAGATACGCTGAAATGGACTGAAATCCTGCAGCACCCGCAAGGTCCCCCTGCTCAAGAAGGCACATGTACTGGCCCGTTTAAAGTTTGCCAAAGAACATCTAAATGATTCAGAGAAGGCTTGGGAGAAAGTGCTGTGGCCAGATGAAACCAAAATTTAGCTATTTGGCATTAACTCGACTCGCTGTGTCTGGAGGCAGAGAAATGCTGACTATGACCCCAAGAACACCATCCCTACAGTCAAGCACGGAGGTGGAAACATGCTTTGGGGCTGTTTTTCTGTAAAATCTTGGACGAGAACCTCCTTCCCTCAGCCAGAACACTGAAGATGGGTCATGGAAGTCTTCAAGGATTACAATGACCCAAAACATACTGCCAAGACAACAAAGGAGTGGCTCAAGAAGAAGCACATTAAGGTCATGGAGTGGTCTAGCCAGTCTCCAGACCTCAATCCTATAGAAAATCTGTGTAGGGAGCTGAAACTTCGAGTTGCCAAACAACAGCCAAGAAACCTTAAGGATTTAGAGAGGATCTGTAAAGAGGAGTGGATCAAAATCCCTCCTGAGATATGTGCAAACCTGTTGACCAACTACAAAAAAACCGTCTTACCTCTGTTGGTACCTATTTTTTGGTTGGTATTCTGTCTATACGTTAAAATAAACCTACCATAAAAATTACAGACCCTTCATTTTTTTGTAAGTGGGCAAATTTACAAAATCAGCAGGGGATCAAATAAATAGTTTCCCCACTTTGTGTATGCATATGTGTGTATGTGTATATATATATATATATATGTATATGTATATATATATATGTGTATGTGTATGTATATATGTATATGTGTGTATATATATATAAAAACGTCTTACCTCTGTTGGTACCTATTTTTTGGTTGGTATTCTGTCTATACGTTAAAATAAACCTACCATAAAAATTACAGACCCTTCATTTTTTTGTAAGTGGGCAAATTTACAAAATCAGCAGGGGATCAAATAAATAGTTTCCCCACTTTGTGTATGTATATGTGTGTATGTGTATATATATATATGTATATATATATATGTGTATGTGTATGTATATATGTATATGTGTATATATATATATATATAGTATTTTTTTTATTTTTGGGTGGTGCATTTAGTTTGTCATATTCAGAGGTGCTAAGTTAATGTCTGCCTCTTTGTAAAAAGATCTCATCTACATTTCTTGTCTGTCTTTTTACATTTCACTCAGTAATAAGGGGAGTATTGTTGTTTTTTTTTGTATTAATTTGCAAAATTGACACCATTAAACTTCTACACTGTCCAGTAACCTGTTATTTTAATGGATGTTTTGTTTATTATATATTTGTCTTTTTATATATGTAATTATTATTTACATTCATGGTTTATATGGAAATTAGAATTTAAATTACCTCTGTTCTTCTGAATTGTTTCAGCATAACAAAACAAATAGTTTTGCTACTATTTAAGTTCAATTTTAAGAAATTATATTGAAAGTGGTGGGAGAAAGATGAGTTGTTTAATGAATCTGAATCCATCTGTCACCCACATCACATTTTGTCCTTCTCTCTTTTCTCTTCATCCCCTTTCTCTCTGTTCTCTCATTACTGCCCCAACCCATCACTTATTCTATAAAGAATTGCGAAGCAGATTCTGCTGGCTCAGATCAGAGCTAATCTGTCCTCTGCTTCTGAGCTGGATGCCAGCTCAGATGAGCACTCAGAGAGCATGAGAGAAGAGCAGAAGAAGAGCAAGATCAGAACATCAGAGACAACAAAAGAGGAAGGTGAGCGATGACCATTACCACTGGTACCGTGGGGAACAGACCTTGCAAATCCTGTAATTCAATATATATGCCATTTCTACAACACTTTTTCACACCACTGTATGTTAGAAATTCAACAGTTTTGGGTCATTAAGATTTTTTGAAAGAAATGTTATACTCCTCAAGACTGCATTTATTTGATCCAAAATAGAGTAAAAAACAATGATATTGTGAAATATGAATACAATTTCAAATAACTGTCTCCAATAACTGTCTATTTTAAAATAAAATGTAAAATGTAATTTATTCCTGTGATGGCTCAGCTGAATTTTCAGCAGCCATTACTCCAGTCTTCAGTGTCACATGATCCTTCAGAAATCATTCTAATATGCTGATTTGGTGTTCAAGAAACATTTTTTTAGCATTGTCGATGTTTAAAATGCTTGTATGGCTTATTATCTTTTATGAAAATGGTCGTATATGTTTTTTTTCCCTTGCTGAATAAAAGTATTAATTTCTTTCTGACACTCAAAAGTTAATGGTGCTGTGGTCAGTGAGTCAAAGAGTTGCAAAACTAGCTAACATATGGGCATTTTTCAGAGTTTCATCTTTCTCTGTGCAGCTCTGTCTATTTTATGTTTTGTGGTGGCTTAAAAAGAATAATTCACCCAAAAATTAAAATGGTCAAAATATATTTTCTTTTAGATTTTTCTCTTGAAGCTATCATATTGCTTCAGAAAAAGCCCTCAAGTTATGTTTAGGCTTTTCACGCTACACTTTTGTAACCCTGAGTTAACACCTTTTTCAATCCCAGGCTAAGGCCACTTTTAACCAGTAGTTAGGCATTTGTAGTACATAAATTGCAGTGCAAAAGGTTTAAAGTTAACACAAGGCTACATTAATCCAGGGTTAAAATAACCCTTCAATACCATTTTTAATAGGCAAAGCCCATTGGACTTTTATGGAGGTTTTTTGGACAGTTAAGATCACGGACCACTTTTGTAGATGGAGTCTAAACATTCTGCTAAACATCTTTTTGTATTGTACAGAGGAAAACAAAATGCAGTAAATTCAAACAGCATGAGAATGACAGTAGTTAACATTTTTGAGTGAATTGCCTGTATAATTTGACATTTTTGCATCACTGGTTAATTTTCACTGGCCTTCTCTCTCGGGTCTTTCACACACAGGTGGCAGAGCTGGCCACAGTGAAGTCTGTGGCTGTTCGTGTTGAGCTGTTGAATGACTGGTTTACGAATGGTGGCGTAATGATCATGGGTTATGAGGTTTTTCGTACACTGACACACACAGATAGTGCAAAATACAGTGAACACAAAGAAGCCCTCCGCTCAATGCTCCTGGATCCAGGTAAGTTTATCTGAATAATCCATCATCAAATACGGAAAACTGTTATATTTTATTTTGAATATTATTTTAAAACCATTGATTGGTGTGTTTGTATATTAGGCCCTGATCTGGTGGTATGTGACGAGGGTCATGTCCTTAGGAATGCGGACTCCAGTATCTCAAAAGCCATGCGAGCTCTACGGACACGTAGGAGAATCATATTGACGGGAACGCCGCTTCAAAACAACCTTACTGAGTGTAATCACCTTTCATCTCCATATATATAATAAGCTGCTTGTGAAAAGTGACTTCCTTATTCATTTTTTTACCTTAAAGGGATAGTTCACCCAAAAATGAAAATGTGATGTTTATCTGCTTACCCCCAGGGCATCCAAGATGTAGGTGACTTTGTTTCTTCAGTAGAACACAAATTAAGATTTTTAACTCAAACCGTCTGTTAGTCTTATAATGGAAGTGAATGGGAATCACGGCTTTGAGAGTAAAAAAAAACATACACAAACAAAACCAAATTAAACCCTGCGGCTCGTGACGATACATTGATGTGTAAAGACATGAAACGATCAGTCTGTGCAAGAAACTGAACAGTATTTATATTGTTTTTTACCTCTGATGCACTGCAATGTCTGAACTGTCCTGAGCACGTTCAACAGCCCACCTGACGTGTCTTCTTGCTTTACGGTGGATTGCAGACTTATAAGTGCATTACCGCCACCTATCTCTCAAATGGACCATTGACACTCCTAATTGAGATTGTAGATAGAGTGTCAATGGTCCATTTGAGAGAGAGGTGGCGGTAATGCAAAACTCCTAAAAGTTTAACTTACATTAATTTTACATAGCTTTCTAAACATGCGGCTCTCTTGTGCGAGACGCGAGTGCAACGGTGATGGTCCCTCTAGAAAATGCAATAAATATACGTTCTGTGTGAACGGCTTGGTTTCGGTTTCCCCACATTGATTGTTCTATTTTCTGCAATATATTGAATGAACAACGTAGCAGCACCGCATCTAGTGGGTTCAAATGGACAGGCTAACAAAAGCATTAAAATGCAACGACACTTACATCATCACATTTCGTGCGCCACTGATAAGGCTGCCTGACGCACACCTAAATTCGAATGCAACATTTTTGCATACGAATGGATTTTTATTTTAAATTTGACGAATATTCGAAATTCGAAATTTTTTTGACAGCTCTAATGTGTATTATTTATTTATTTATTGTTTATTGTTCTAGATCACTGCATGGTGAACTTCATTAAGGAGAATCTGCTGGGCTCTCTAAAGGAGTTCCGGAACCGTTTTATTAATCCAATTCAGAACGGTCAGTGCGCAGACTCCACCCCTGCTGATGTCAGACTCATGAAGAATAGATCGCACATCCTCCATCACTTAATGTCAGGATTCATACAGGTGATGAAGAGAGAGAAAGAAATGGAGCTAAAAGCTGGAAAAAAAAGTCTAAATGATTTGTGTTTGTGTTGCAGAGGCGGGACTACTCAGTCTTGATGGCCTGTTTGCCACCAAAGCACGAGTATGTGCTGTCAGTCAGGATGACGTCTCTGCAGTGTCAATTATACACACACTATCTGCAGAACTACACAGGTCAGAGTCTCACAAGCACAAACTAGAGCTTAAAAAGTACTGCACCAGTAGAAATGTGTCAGCCTGTAGAGATTAAGCCAGTAATTATTTTCAAGGTATAGCTGATATTAAATTTCTATACAATTTATTTTCTAAATAAATTAAAAATAAAACTCTAAAAACTCAAATCATTGTAAATGTTGCAAATAAAAATATAGGCATCATATAATTATAATGTATAATAATATTATAATGTATTTATTAACAGAGTTATTAAATTATGTTGTGGAAATTAACCATAAGTCAACTTTAGATAATGTAAAAATTTAAAAATAGGAGAAATTAGCATTCACAAATATCGTATAATTGGGTGATATATTAATCCAGTATTGCATAAAAATAGCCTTATATACTGACATGGCTTACAATTGCTTAATGGTTCTTATATATCAGATGCTTTCATGATTTTGCAACATCACATTAAGATTTTTGTCATACCACCTAACTCTAGCATACACTGAGCCAAATATTGTCTTTGTTTTAGGGAAAGGAGTAGGTGTGAACAATTTGTTTCAGGACCTTCATGTTCTGAGTTTGATATGGACTCATCCCTGGTGTCTTAAACTTGCTCAGCTGAACAGGAATAAGGTACATACATACACTCATCCAGATAACACTAGCGTTCAAACGTTTGGGGTCGGCAAGATTTTTTATTTTTTTTAAAGAAATGAATACCTTTATTCAGCAAGGACACATTATATTAATGTAAAGGAACAGTAAAGACATTTATAATGTTATAAAAGATTTCTATTTCAAATAAATGTCATTCTTTTGAACTTTCTATGCATTAAAGAATCCTGAGAAGAAATGTATCACAGTTTCCACAAAAAAATAATTAGCAGCATAACTGTTTTCAACAATAATAATAAGAAATGTTACTTGAACACAAAATCAGCAAATTAGAATGATTTCTAAAGGAGCATGTGGCACTGAAGATTGAAATAATGGCTGTTGAAAAACCATTTAAAGTTTAAAAATGTTTTAAATTGGAATAATATTTCACATGTATGCACAGTATGTCAGTAATAAATCAGTTATTGCAGTTACTGTTTTTACTGTACACACAGAAATACAGCACATTTAAAAATCTTACCGACCCATAATGATAGCGTATACACATCTTGCCTCATTTTTACAAACATCCTGTCAATGGTCACTTGATTTTTCTCCATCAATTATGACATGAAATCTGATTACTGTATTTCTGTGTGTGATGCAGGGGAAAGAGGAAGTCTTCACAGGTCTGGGTGCAGGTTTGGTGAGCGATTCTGTAAAGCCGAATGACTCTGAAGGGTATGCTGTGTTTCTGATCAGATTTGAATATTTCCTGTACCACTAATGTGCTTCATGCTTTTGTAAAATATCAGACATCAAAGCTAGAGTAACTCTGAATTGAAGAACAAAAAGACATTTGTCTTTGTAAACAATGTAAATTAAAAGCATTATAGAATATTTTGTTTTGGAAGCAATTGGTAAATGTGAGACTGATACGTGCAGGGCCGCCGCGTGCATATAGGCGAACTAAGGCGGCAGCACAGTCAGGGCGGCAAAAAGGAACTCTAAATTAACTTCATAGTAATGCCGCTCCCGTGCTGTGCCCCACCTGAGCGGCGTCAATATCACATGCAAATCACCCTCGTGTACTTCCATAAATGTCATCAAAATGAATAAAATTCCCGCACATGAATGACCTTTGCTACTGGTGATGTCTGATGAGTTTTAAAGCCCGACACGCACTTCTGAACGGTAAGATTATAGCCTACTGTGAGAGAAAACGTGGGGGTGACACAGGTGGATACATCCAAAAAAACAAAACAAAACATGGTTTTGGACCAAAACCGTATTTATTTTTTTTTTTAGCAGGTAGCCTAGATATTAAGCCGTTATCATTTATAACGCTACGAACAGTGTTTAATTTGTAAATTGTGAGGTCCCGGAATAAAGCGGACACAGGTGGATACATCCAAAAAAACAAAACAAAACATGGTTTTGGACCAAAACCGTATTTATTTATTTTTTTAGCAGGTAGCCTAGATATTAAGCCTTTATCATTTATAACGCTACGAACAGTGTTTAATTTGTAAATTGTGAGGTCCCGGAATAAAGCAGGTTGATGGATCCGGCAAGTGATCAGAGGATGGAGAGGTAATGGAGCATTCGCGCAATCATTTAGTGGACCCACTTAAGTGATTACCAGCTTGCATCAGTTGCTTTTATAGTATGCACATATACTCTAAAATATCATGGTTATTTTATTGCAGCATTTTTTTTTGTGTTTGGGTAGTTTTTGTGTAACCCAGCTTCCGGGACAGGAGAGTCGCAACAACCCAGTGTTTGTAATGAGTGCAGATATTTAGCATTCTCTTCAGGTGAGAGTATTCTCAGTGCCGCCAACTTGCATTTCTTTGGTCAAATATAGGTTTGTGTATGTTTTATTTAATCTGTAAAACAGTTTCTTTGCTGTAAATCATTTTATTTTATGCAAAGCAAACCAAGTCAACTAAACAAGACACATCAGTCTTTTTGCGACGATTAAATGTTTAATTTTTACTTCTAAAATGCTTGTTAAACGAGTTTAAATGTAAGAAATGTTGTATACATGTTTAAACGGTAAAATATGTTGTATTAACAACTGTATTTAACTAAAAGGCATTTAGAGAAAGAAAGAAAGATTAAAAAAAAAGTCAAAATAAATGAAGAACTAAAACGAAACAAAACCAACAGCAGTTATTGAACACCTAACTAAAAATAATAATCAAAAATAAATAATAGTTTTCTAATCAATCTCAGCATGCTTTAATTTTGTGTCGCTAGAGGTTTGCCTCAATAAGCTTAAATTAAAATGTCTTTGGTCTGCGCTCTGGAAGTGTTCTGTTAATTCTGCTAAACTTTAATTACTAAAATTAAAACTGAAACTAAACTGTATAAAAATGAAATAGGCTATAAATCTGTTCGCTAAATAAAAACTAAACTAATATTAACAAAATTATTAATGAAACCAATAAAAGAAAATTGAAAGCGATATTAAAATAAAAATGTATTTAAAAATGCAAAACTATAATAACCCT